ATATATATATATATATATATATATATATATATATTTTTTTTTAAAGATTTTGGATTTTCTTAATTTTTTATCAATTATTCTCTTTATTCCAATGAAATCAGATTCAAATCAGAAAATTTTTAAATTCTGTCTATTCTACAAATCTTTAGAGAAGAATATTAATTAAAAAATAGAAATCATTATGCTTATTTCTATAATTAAAAGAAATATAGAAAGATGAGATGTATTAGATTAGTTCTCAGTTCTTGCGTGGATTTGAATTTGGAAAAAAGTTTATCGTTTTTTTTTTTTCGAAAAGAAGATTGAAGAAACTCTTCTAATGAAAATAATAGAAATCGAATAATGACCGTTTTTATTGACAAAAAATTACTTGAAAATTGTATGAGTTATTTATTTTCAACTTTATGAGAGATACAACATATTTCTTGCTTCAATCTAATAAAATTTAAATAATCTTCCAGGATAAGGTCGGACTTGGCAGACGTTGAGATTTCTAAATTCGTGAGCGGCATCACAGGCAGCAAGTCAACAGTGTCACGCAACAATCCACGAAGATGTTACAGAACGTCGACCAGCTCCGGTTACTCGAGCCATTCGCCACCGTTGTCGGCCGGTTCGTATTCCTATTACGCGTCAGCGTCGACGAGAGATCCATCGTACGGTGGCTTGGCGGTGATCCACGAGAGTGACGTAATACCGCGGCCCATTTGGCCCTCCGTCGTTTATCATCACGCTGAAGATCACAGTACTAATTACGAAGGTAAAAGTGTTCGAAAAATTTTCTGACAAAAGCGATAGCTCTGTTTTGCTTTGAAACAATTTCACTTATCAGAACGTTTTTGCTTTATCAGGTATTTATACGTGTCGTGTATGCGGTTGCACGTACAACTATTCACCATCACCACCACCGTTTCCGCCGCCGCCGCCACCGCCGCCGCCACCACCACCACTACCACCACCACCATCACCACCATCACCACCACCGCCGCCACCAACGTCAAGAGCGCGCGAGGTGCTTCTCGAATTATCCCGAACTCTCAACTCTGTGATAGACGGCGACATCACGGCGGCACCAGAGGATATCCTGCGCGATATCTCGCGTATTGTTTCTCTGGAGATCGGTATGAGGAACGACAATGTGTATGAATACGTTTGTCCTTCCTGGGCGTTCAACGACAAGAGTCCATGGCCGGGCTGCGTAAAAAACGTGCCATCGAGAGCGAATCCAGTCCACTCGAAATTTTACGTCAGTCCTCGCTGTTTCTACAATTCGGGACGATCGATATTGTCGCTCAAGAACCAGAGGATAACGAGACGCGAAGGGAACAACGAGACGAAAAAGAATTCCGGCTTTGCAAGAAAGAAGTCTTGCGAAACTGAGTCAAAGTATTCGATGGTGAGTATGCTCGGTCTGAATTGATCAACGTAGTTTGTCGAACAATTTCTCTTCGTCATGCAGTTAATCAGGATTAATTAACCAAACAGATTTCAATCGAATCATTTCAACTAAGCGTATTATATGTAGGAAAAAACGGTTGTTTCAGCAGTTGGAGTGCAGCGAAGTAGGATCATCCACCGAAGAAACAGTCGCCTCATCAAACGACTGGAATCATCGTTTAGCAATACGAAGAGACGATTTCGATTTCACGCTCGATGTGACGCAGGTCGAGCGTTTAAGCCGAGCGATCGCGAGAGCGAAACGGAAGCGGCAATGGTGCAGAGCCTTGACCACTCTCTTCGGTCTAGTTTTCTTCGTCTTGAGCGTCGTCATCGTCTCGCTATCTGTAACGAGGGGTCGCAAAGTGTTTGGGAGCATGTAAGAGTCGAAAGAAAAGGAAAGAACTCATCGCGTAACATTTATTTGAGAGTGCTTCCTTGAGATCGAAAGAACCGATCGAATTGGAGCGTACTTTAAACATTCAGATAACTCTTGCCGCAAACATTTTGCAACGCGGATGCTCTCGTTTCGTATATATCTCTTTCAGTACCTTATAATATATACACATGTATGTATATGTATATTTAAGTAGAATCTGAGAAAGATCCTGCAATCACGATGTATGGCTGTGACCATGTCTCTTTGCGTGCGTATTGTTAAATACCGTATAACGCATCATGATCGTGTTAAGTTAGACTTTTCGTAGAGACAAGCGTGTATGATATTACCAGGTAAAAGAAAACGGGTATCTATGTAGAACTAGAGTAACTTTGACCAAACTGCAATTAACTTAATTGTCGATTAATTAAATCTGGCAAAATTACTAAAGGCAAAACTATATTTGTAATAATCTAATTTTTTCCTGTATACTAAACAATAAAAATTAATCCATTTATGTTAACAAAATAATAGATATCATCATTAATAACAGATATCACTTGATAAGTTAATCTTCGGTTCAATATTCAATTTATAATACAAATTATTTTATAATAAAAGTTATTCATTCAAAACTAATAATGTAAATATTGTTCGGAAAGTTAATCGCTAATTAATCGAACTGTAAAGTTCTCTTTTAATTAATCTAAATAGAATTAACGCGTGCACATGCGCCCATTTGATACTAATCCAAGCCTAGTCTAGTCGCTTTCAGCGCGGCGCTGCGAACAGGTGAAGGAAACCAAAGAATGGAGGTGTGTCATGTACGTACTACGCATCACGATTACCTGGTATTTCTAAGGAGTGAATAAACATCTCTAGCTGTCACTTCGAAGCTCGGCGCACATCACTTGGATTTACAACATATTACTTGTATTCACGAGAATAATATCGAAATACACTCGAGATTTCGTACTTCGTATTCGTTTAGGTTATGGTCATATCGATATCTCTCGCATTCGTCCAATTGTTGCCCCGTGGAAATTCGATATAGCATTTCTGCCTCTTTCTCAGAAGGTAATAATCATTTCTTTGTACTTTTGGAAACGAGGGTACAGCCAACATAGCAACGATAAGAGACAAGGTAGCTGATTGATCGAAACAGTACCTTCACCCCAAGGATTCATCCTTTTGTCTCTTTATTAAAAAAAATGTTTCTTTGTAATTTTAGATTGTAAAAATAAGTTACATACAGAATGGTGTGCGTGCCGTGTTTTGCGGTTCCTATAATTCTAATAATATGGAGATTTCTTATACAACCCTTATTGATCAAATGGTGGCAATTGAGGAATAAGGGACAAGAAGTCAAAGAGGATCAGCCATGTCCTGATTTAATAAAAGAATGCAAAAATGGAACGTGTACCCTGTCATGGAAAGATAAAGGAGATGCAATAAAGAAAAGCGAGTAAAGGAAAGTGGAACCAAGCAGAATAGGCTCAATCAACATAGGTTATTTTATTGCAGTTATATTTTGTTGAACGATAAGAAGATTATAATTGATATGTTTATTAGAATTTATGTGTGACATGATCACCAGTCATTTACAAAGTTGATTTATGAATCAACTTAAAATCAACTAAAAATGAGACAGCCTCTTATCTTAGTTGAACTCTGTAATCATTCTTTAAATATTACCTTCATGTTAGAAAACATTAAATTATATAAAAACTAGTTATGTCATTTATAAAAGATTTTTATTACATATATACACGCATGCATGATACACAAATTTCATTAAATGGAATAATCTCATGAATGATAGAATATATAATGTATATAAACTTATATATTTTATTATTACATGCTCTAATATGTAATTTGTAGCAACACAAAAATTCCAGTAAATTGTGTAACATCAAAATATTGGAACAGTGATATTATTTTATATCATGAAGATTGACAGTTTTATCATCATATTTTTGCCGGAATTTCAATCTATGATATTGATGAGGTTTATTTACATTATATTTAGATTACATTTCATTGCATAATATTTGATTTGACATTTACATTATTATCTATATGAATATTATCTATGTGTCCATTTTTTTAATTTATTTTTCTATTAAAAAGTATTTGATTATATATAAATATATATACAATATTATATATATTTTTTGTTATATAATGGGTTATATATATGATATAAATATATATTAATATATAAAATTATATACTGAAAACTTTTATTGAAATTTTACAGACGCAGATATTATGATATGTCGCGATAATTTTAAATTTAAATTAATTTTAATTTTTAAATTTAAAATGCACTAAAATGTTGTCGTTATCTTTATCGCGCTTGATCATTCACGTTTTACATAACAAAAGAAAGAAAAATATAATTTCACAGCAATGTGTAATGTCATCATGTGTAGTGACGTGGATAATAATAAGTTATTGTTCTTACATAGTAAAACGAAACTGTTGTTATTTAATGAGGAAATGAGATTTGAAGAAATATAAAAAAAATATAATTAAATGAAATTAATAGCAACGCATTTACATTGTTGCTATTAATTTTTGAAATTTATGTTGGAATACTGAAACAATAATAGTTCGATTTCTTATTTTTTTTCTGAATTCCTCTCCATTCTCCTCCGGATCGTTATTAATAGTCACAAAAATTTATCTAGGTATAAGAGAGAATGTATTATATTGCATTTGTTAATTTACTAAATATTTAATTTTATATCTACACTTTTTTATATAAATAAAATTATTTTTTTACTGTTTAATATATAGAGAAATAAATTATGCAAAGTTATAGTTTAGACAAAGAATTGTAGTTTAATTTTCTTAAACAATTCTAATTATAAACAAATTAATCGAAATTTGGTTGAAATTGTCTCTATCTTCAAACAGTAACAGACGAATTCACATTTCGCTCGATAACCAATGAAAGAATTCGTTTTCTAGAAATAAAAATGGCACCAGTTGAAATCCCTAGGATCCACACTGTCTTATTGGATGTTGGATATTCTCACACATCTTCATTATCGTCTCGTCAATGCTTGTCAATGGCCGGAGACAGAGAAGATAAGAAAAGTCGAGCGTGGGAGGGAGAAAGAGAGGAAAGATAAAGCGAGAGAGAGAGAGAGAGCGAGCAGGACAGTGAACGTAGCTGCGCATCGCAGTCGGTTTTGCAGGCGCGGCGCGATAGGTGGTTCGTAGGTGGTTCGCACGATCCCTGGTACCTGGGGATCGTCCGTGCTCGCACGACAGCTCGATTGCCTATCCAAAGTAGGCTCCTCCGTCCCGAGGCGCAATCCCGCGCGCGCGTACACCTGCACGTACGAACGAGCGAACACACGCACGCGATGGCGTCCACGAAGAGGAAGCAAGACGAGAGGAACCTGAAGACGCTCCGTGAATTGGTCTCGCAGCCGGGCAACAAGGAATGCTTCGACTGCAACCAGCGCGGGCCGACTTACGTCAACATGACGATCGGCTCGTTCGTCTGCACTTCTTGCTCTGGTATGCTGTAAGTAGCTCTGGCTCCGACTCTCATTATTCTCCCTCTAACCTCCCTCCCTGCTTCCCCGCAAACCTATCCTCTTGCTGGGTTGATGATCGTTCCCCGGGAAATTCATTTTCGGGACCGTCGTACCCGAAGATCCCCGCATCGCGTGTCCCTTTTCTCCCCGCGCGCGCGCGCGCGCGCGGCGCGTGTGACTAGTTGGAACAAATGTACAA